TGGGTGTGGTGGCTCACACTTGTAATCCCAGCACTTTGGGAGGTCAAAGCAGTAAGATTGCTTGAGCCCAGGAGTTTGAGACTAGCCTGGGCAACATAGCAAAACTTTGTCTCTACAAAAAACAAAAAGATTAGCCAGGCATGATGGCACAGCTATAGTTCCAGCTTCTGAGGAAGCTGAGGTGGAAGGATCGCTTGAGCCCAGAAAGTCAAGGTCTGCAGTGAGCCGCAATCATGCCACTGTACAGAGTGAGACCTCTGTACAATCATGCCATGGCAACACTGAGAACTCCACTCAACAACAACAGTCTCTCTCACTCTCCCACATAGCTATCATCTATAACCTTCATTTTCATACTTCTTGCAAGTACAGTCTTTATCATTTACCTGTAATTCAGGGTTTCTCAGACATTAACAAATATCCCCGGGGGGCCAAAGTCTTCAACCACACCACCCTCATCCTCACTGAGGTTCACTTTTCCAGTCCACTGAGATTTGCTTTCCTTATCCCTTCTGTCTTCTGCACTAAAAGTGTCCTCAGTAACTTTACCAATTTGCCATTTGTCAGGTCCTGTTCAGTAGATTTTGTGATTTTTAAATTTAAGTCCCAATCCTCAGGAATTCTCTTATGACAAATTACAAGGTTCCCACTCACCCTTAATTTAGCAAATCACCAATTCCTGGTCATTGTTGTATCTTTCCACTACTTATCCTCAGAATTCCTTTCGGATTCTTCTTTCTCTGACCATCTCTGAGATTTTTTTTCTATTCCTAACTTTATCCTATATGTCTTCATTGTCTTTGAATAGTTTCATTTATGCCTAGGACTTAATTCTAACATATTCAATAATAACTTTCAAATCTATTTTCTTCTTTTTTTATTTTTTGGAGACAGTCTCTGTTGCCCAAACTAAAGTACAATGGTGTGATCACAGTTTACTGTATCGTCAAACTCCTGGGCTCAGCTGATCCTCCCACCTCAGCCTCCTGAATAGCTAGAACTACAGGCATGTGCCACCGTGCCCAGATAATTTATTTCTTATTTTTTCAGAGACAAGATCTCACTATTTTGCCCAGGCTGGTCTCAAACTCCTACCTCAAGTGATCTTCCCACCGTGGTCTCCCACAGTGCTGGGATTACAGGCATGAGCCATCATGAGTCTCTATGAGCTCTAGACTCAAATTTTCAACCGGGTACTGAACATTCTACAGATACCAGAAACGCAACTTATCCTAAACTCAATTCATTTTCCTGAAGGAAGGAGAGATATATTTTTCTCCAATGTCCTTTAGTTAATGACACCTTCATCTATCCAGTCACTCAAGTCAGAAAAGGTAAGCATACTCTTCCATAAGTCATCCTTAACTGGTGACATACAATCCATCCTCAAATCTTTCCACCAAATCTAGGTAAATGTCCCTGAAATCTGTTCTGGAATGCTGCTCTTGCTTCCTCCTGATAAAATCCTATTCATCTATCAATGGACATTCCACCTGGGAAGACCCTTCGCAGGAGGTTAAATGATTCCTTGTGTTGTGATCCTGCAACAATTGTGCATACCTTTATTTCTGTACTTATATAATTATTTTACACTTTCATCTTCCACCAGACTAGGAGCTTCTTGAAGTCAGAGGCTGTGTCCTATACATATATATATCCACTAGGTGTATACATGCCAGGAACTGTTCTGGGTTTTAAGAAAGAAATAAAACAAAGTCTCTGCTCTACATTCCAACTGAGAGAGAAAATGTTAAGAAGAAACAAGTAATATGAGAGCTGGTGATAAGCGCTATGGAGAACAAGCAGAGTGAGTAGGAGAGGGAGAGGGAAAGGCAGGACTGTTTTTATGAAATAGCCATGGAAGTCTAACAGGTGACATTTGCACAACTGTCTGAAGAAAGTGAGGTTAGAGGTCATATCACTTCCTTCCCAGCAATTAGTTTAGTGTCTGGCTCATGGTGGTGACTCAGCAGATGTTTGCTAAGCAAATGAATTAAAAACAAGTATATTTCTTCCTTTTTTTTTTTTTTTTGAGTTGGACTCTCACTCTTTCACCTGGGCTGCCCTGCAGTGGCACACTCATAGCCACCGCATCCTCGCCCTGCTGGGCTCAGGTGATCCTTCCGCCTCAGCCCTCCAAGTAACTGGAACTACAGGCATGCACCATCATGTCCAGCTAATTTTTCTTGATTTATTGTAAAAATGAGGTCTCACCAAGTTTCTCAGGTTGGTCTCCAATGGGCTCAGGCAATTCTCTCACCTCAGTCTCCCAAAGTGCTGGGATTATAGGTGTGAACCACCACGCCTGGCTAGGACTATCACTATTACAATGATCATCTTTTTACTAACTGGATTTATGAGTCACATGCTTTCAATGCAGACTCACTGGAGAGCAATAGGAAATAAAATGGGACAATCCAGCAAGGTGGTGTCTGTGATCAAGCTCTTAAGTTACGGAATCACTAAAAAAAGATAGTTGAATTTTTATGAAATCAACTTTTAAAAATTGCCCTGATTTGATCATTATACACTGTATATTTGCATTGAAATACCACACTGCAACTCATAAATATGTATAATTATTACATCAATTATGATTTTTAAATTTAACTTTTAAAAAGACAGCTAAAAAATATCACCTAAGTTCAGGGTTGCCTCTGCAACAACATTTCTACAGAGGTTTTTCCAGAGAAGAAATTAATATTCGGAAGAACATTAATACTTTATGTGCTTTTCTTGACATTTTTTACCTATACAGTCCTATCTGTTCAGTAGCTCCAATTAGTTATCTTAAGTCCTAGATTTCATATTTTTAAAAATGTTTTTACTAACCTTAATATTTTTTTGAAATCGCAGGTTTTTTTGACTGATTAACTTCATGCACTGTGTCTTTCAAAGTTTTGAAATCTACTAAAAACTGAATTTCTGACAATGCCTGCTTTAATCCATTTGAATTTCCTGCATTTTAGATTACTATAAACAAGATTTTATTTTTTTACCCTTTAATCTAGCTTGACCACTTTACCATTTTATTTTATAAAGAGGATGTCCAAAGTCCTAGGTAGTCCTGGATTACCATATTTTTGTTATTATTGTTCTAGCTTGCTCACTTAGCAGCTAAGTAAAATTTGATTTCTAAATCAAAAAAGCATTACTGTCACTTTGTCTTAGAGGGACTGACAGGAAAAGGCAAAAGAAAAGTAGGAAGGCAGTAGAGAACTTGTTTTCTTCCTTAAAACCAGAGGTACAGATACTAACATGCTAAATTTTGCAGCTTTGGAGACAGTTATTTTGGAAAAGCACCACATTAAGGGGGTGGTTATCATAAGAGACATCCCAGCGCACCTCTCTTTATTCAATACGTTTACTCAACCAACATTTCAGCCCCCACTACATATACCAGGTACTTACTAGGCACTGAAGATTCAGCAATAAAAACAACTTCTATCCTTAAATATCTGTGCTAAAAGTAATGCATAAAAACATTCTTCTCTGTAAACATACTGAACAGTCTAAGTATGTAAGAAAATTTTACTTTACATACTCTAATAGTCAATCTTTGTCACTGTTCTGTTTCCCCAGTCAGCTTTGTGCTGCTGCCACACCTCCCCAGAATGGTATGGCAAGAGGCAGAAATTCTCTGTTTACCACATAGCATGAGCAGTCACTCAGATTAACTGTCTCTGAAATATGAGGAAGAATTTTCTAGTAGAGAATTAGAGAAACGGTCTATGAACACCTTTAACTAATTATGAAACTCCAAACAATCCACTCTATCTTGTATAAAACATCCTTTCAACATTTGAAAACAGTCATTACTTTCTCCCTAAGCATCTCTTTCAAGCAAAAGTTTCAAGCTCTCTCAATATTGTTAAAGGATACCTGCTCACTGGGCAGGGTGGCTCACATCTGTAATCTCAGCCCTTTGGAAGGCCAAGACGGGAGAACTGCTTGTGTCCAGGAGTCTGAGGCCAGCCTGGGCAACACAGTAAGATCTTGTCTCTACAAAAATAAAAAAATTAGCCAGGTGTGGTAGCACGCACCTGTAGTCTCAGCTACTGGGGAGGCTGAGGTGAAATGACCACTTGAGCTCAGGAAGTCAAGGCTATAGTGAGCCATGCCCATGACATCGCACTACAGTCCGGGTGACACAGTGAGACCTTTACTCAAAATAAGTAAATAAATATAAATTTAAAATGCCTATCATAAGTCAAAATTTATATATATTCTGGCCATCACTTCCTTTATAGCTGAGATCCCAAGTATTTTGACCATGTCCTACTTAGTCAGAAGACCATATTTGCTAATTTGACAACCAGAGAAGAACAAAATAAATATTATGAAGTTAACTTGTTACTAGCAACATACAGAACCACTCATCATCTTTATGCATGTATATGTATGTATATGTATAGAAGCTTATATATTTTAAATTAGAAAATACTGCCCATAATAGCAAACTAAAAATACCTTTGTAATCTCATCATAACTACACTTTACTAAGAGGAATACATGGGCAGCAAATCATTCAATGATATACAAGCTAATTGGGCTAATATAGAGGAATGGGTACTTTATATTTGAACCACAGTACATATATGTGAAAAGCGAGCCGGGTTCGGTGGCTCAGCCTGTAATCCCGCGCCTTTGGGAGGCTGAGGTGAATAGATTGCCTGAGCCCGCAGGTACGAGATCCACCTGGGCAGGCAAGACCTCATCTCTATAATAAAATCAAAAAATTAGCCGGGCGTGGTAGTGCACGCCTGTAATTCCGGCTACTCAGAAGGCTGAGGCGGAAGGATCGCCGGAGCCCAGCAGGTGGAGGCTGCGGTGGCCAG